AATGCAGTTCAATACAACCTGCTATGCACATGCTGCCATACGAAAACACTTCCTTTTCAGATTTTCATTCCTTTTACGTTTCAATCTTTTTTTCTTCTAGTGAAACAGGTATGAGTTGAATGAATACAAATAACCACAATAAACAATGAAAGACATATGAAAATTTTCCAAAGGCTTCCATACCGTAGTCTAATACTTACATACGTTCTCATGCACACACAGCAGAAAACCTCAGAAGGGACCGCATCAGTCAAGAAATGCAATCACCCAAAGCAAATATTGCCTCCCTCCAATGTTTTCCCACACAGCTAAACAGTCACTCAAATTACCTTTTGTGGCTGACCAACAGAGAATACACAAGCAGCTGCAAATGACCTCTCCAACATTCACACTCCTCAAGGACATTTTCCTCATTCATCTGGAAGTTCATACTGGATATCATATATCCCCCACAGTGAGCAATTGTTTAAAGAATATGTGACTGTGGCACTACAGTCACTACAAGACTTCAAAACCTTACTCAGAATTAAATATAAGAGACATACAGATTACTACTATCTGGTCATTTGATGGAGTTGGCCACCATGAGCCATGCACCATATTCCTTCAACATATTCCTAGCAAAATCCAAACAGAAATCCCTCCATCCAGGAATGTCCAATGTTCCTTTTTCTAAATAAAATAAAAAATACATGTAGCACTTTCTACCATATTTTCAGACTATAGAGCGGACCACACTATAAGCCGTACCCACAAAGTTTTTTTTAAGAAAACTAGAAACGTACATATATAAGTCGCATTGGGCTATAAGTTGGAGGGCAGCGTCCTTAATAAATCTGCTATTAGGGATGCAGCCCTGCGTCTCCAACGCCGAACTATGGATTCATTCACGCCGAGCTTACGTGAAGCAGCTCTATTTCCCTCCTGTACTGCCAGATCGATAGCCCTCAACTTAAAAGCGGCATCATATGAACTTCTTCATATGGTTTCCATGAGGAGGGGTTATGAGTTTGAAAACATTTCTCCGCCGTGCCTGCTGCTAGCATGTGTTTGTTCTAAATAAAAATTAGCACTTTCTTCTTTGATTTCCAATTTTGACTTCCAATGATTCACTTCCTGCTAAAGAGCCCCCTGGCGGTTGAAGAAAAATCCACAGAAAAGCCGCACCGAGCTATAAGCCGCAAGGTTCAAAACGTGGGAAAAAAAATAGAGGCTTATAGTCCGAAAAATACGGTATATTTTAAACTGTATTTCAGACAGAAGAGTTTATGTAAGCATATATTGAACACAATAGGGGTGTATGTTTCATAACAATATAATGTATAGCAGAGATAACGTGTTCGGTGGTGTGGGTATTTTGTTTATTTTAGCCAAGCTCTCCCACTCCTGCATGAAACCTGCATGGAGTTCAAGTGGTGCCTGTGTAATTGGAGAAAACAACTTTCTTACTGGAAATAAGTCGTTTTAAAATTCCCTTAGAACAGAAAACATTTGTCGTAATTTTTATAGTGGTTATAAAACAATGTATCAATTACCAAAGGATGTTCACAAACAACATAAATATAAACAGAAGGTCAGAAAAAAATCCCAAACTGGAAAGGTCCAACACCATATGAATGCAGCCCAGCAGTAAACAGAGACCATAATGACTGTAGTTTGGAACTACAGATTTTTTTACTAGAGGATTAGAGGAAGACAACAAATGTTGAAAGAAAGTTGAAAGAAAAACAGCAAACCTTTAACACATCAAATTTGAACAGCCAACTTAAACACAACGATCCCTTTGACGGTGTTAGGTACCAGCCTGGTGGGTTCTTTTTCAGATCATCCACCAGAGGGCGCCTGATGACAGCTGGTTCCTGGAGGGTGTGCCGGCAGGTCCTAACCAGACGCACCTGTGGGGAATTGTCATCTCCTGGTGGAGTATATGAGCAGCTGACTGCCAGCACATCTTCGCCAGAGTGTTTGCCTGAACTGGTACACTGAGCCCTCAAGAGTTGTTTCACTGAGTACACTTGTTGAAATTCGAGTAGTTTGGAGATCTAAACTTCCTTTGTGATCCTTTTTCCAGGAAGCCTTCAGGAGAACTCGAGCCATCCCTTCTTTGGAAGGAATCCTCCAGAGGCGCCGTGAGAGTTCTAACTGGGAGCCCGAGCCTCACTATCACCTTCCCTGTTACTTACCGGTGCAGTCCTCAGTTGGCAGTCAGCTCCATTACTTCTCTGTGCAGTCTAAGCATAACCTGTCCGCCCTCCGACTCTCTGCCCATCCGCCCAGCCGTCGCCTTTGGACATACCCACCTCCTGGCGCCTGGCCTTCCTCCTCCTCCGTTCGGACCCCGAGTCCCACAAGTAAGAGCTTCAGAACCAGTTTAACTGAGTTGATTCTCTGATCCTGAACTCACCATATCTCTCTCCCTCAGTGAGTGGCTGAACCCGGAACCCTTTATTGAAGCCCAAGTCCAACTAACCTGTTCTGAGTTTTTTTGTGAATAAGAAAAATAAACCCTTTGAATTTTTACACCAGTCTCTATGTGAGTGTTTCTGCATGTGGGCAAAGAACGTTAAACCCAACATGACAGACAGAGTATTCAAAGCATTTTAGGGTACCTGCGATGCTAACGATAGTAGCAACAAGCCACCCGTAAAACTCAAATCCATTTCCACGCTTTTCACAACACAAGAAAATTAGCTTGAGAAGGTACAAAAGCTGAATAATTCAAGATCTCATGATCTAAATGATGGCACTTAACTACCAGCTCTCCACCCTCATCAAAAACGGAGGCTATTTTCGGCCCATTAGCAGAAAATAGCAGTGGCTCAGTTTTATCACACCGAGCCACTGCCACTTTTCTGATGTGCGTATGCTGGGTAAGTACAATACAATTGCCAAATGCATTCAGGCTTTGATTGGCAGAGACATTTAGTGTAAGCCCTCTAATAATTTTTTTCACTTTATTTGGAAAAATACACAAACAATGCAAAACATATCTCCAATACATAATTTGTTTTTCTAATTTTGTTTTATTTTTTGAAGAAATTAAATTAAATGGGGGGAAGAAAGGGAAGAGGAGGAGGTGATGCATGGTTTTGAAAAGTCAAAAACCCGAGTGTGTTGAGAAGGAATGGGACAAATTGGATAAATGACTAAAATCAAAGATCAGTCTTCATCACAGATGTAATTACATAGTCAGGTCTTACATATTTAATTCATTTACTCCAAAATGAATAAAATATCTATTTGAATAGGACAGTTTTTCCATTATGAATATATTATGTGCCAATCCAGTCATCAATGCAATCTGGCTCAGTCTTTAACCACTCTTTGGTTAGTGCTTTTTTTCACTGGCCCCTAACTACTTGTAAAGTCATGTGTTTATCATGTGGATCCCAATGGTCCAGAGTCAGATCTCCTAGATATACATTCACTGGCCACTTTATTAGGTACACCTGTCCAACTGCTCATTAACACGAATGTCGAATCAGCCAATCACATGGCAGCAACTCAATTCATTTAAGCATGCAGACATGGCCAAGATGATCTGCTGCATTTCAACCTGAGATCAGAACGGGGAAGAAAGGTGGTTTAAGTGACTTTGAACGTGGCATGGTTGTTGGTGCCAGACAGGTTGGTCTGAGTATTTCAGAAACTGCTGATCTTCTGGGATTTTCACACACAATCATTTCTAGGGTTTACAGAGAATGGTCAGAAAAAGAGAAAATATCGAGTGAGTATCAGTTCTGTGGGCACAAATGTCTTGTTGATGCCAGAGGTCAGTTAATGTTTGACGTTCAAAAAATATGGCAGTAATTGGCTTTAGCAGTATCACAGTCTCCAACAAGCCTCTCCTTGTTTTTGAGCTGGTGTCACAAAAAATCTCACCACATTATTCTATTCAAATTCTCACTATGAGTTTGTCCCAGTAGACATCCAATGTATTTATGTATTAATCCTAACCCCTAACCCCTTTTTTCCAATTTTCCTAAGGTATTTTTACTTTCCCCACTTCTTCTAAATACAATCTGTGCTTCCTTGTTTAAATAATTGTATACCATTGTAATGTCTTATTATTTCAGTGTATGATTTTCTTTCAAGCATTGACAAAATTACTTTTAGAAATTCAAAACCACTACTGACATGGAATGCTTAGATTCTGAGTATAGCATTGTCTAATTTGCAGGTCTTTGATTTCCAGACCATATTTATTTCTCAAAGACTCAAAGCTGTGCAGTATCCCCTTATGAGTAAATGAGAAGTAGATTAATAAGCATTTTGAGACCATTCTTTTAAACCATACATAATTCTTGTTGGGTACAAAATTTGAGTCGTAAGCACAGCATCTTATAATAGTGTTACCTAACTTGCATAGTTTAGTGATGTCCTGCCATGACTTTAGTAGGACGTTTAGCATTGAGTAATCTGAGATGGATAATTGTGTCTGTATTTTTTTATTTGAAGGTGTGGTTGTTATTGAAATGCCTTTCATATTTGTGCCTCTCATAACTTTCCATCCTGCTGAGTAGATTGGTGAACACAGACAGGCTAGTGGTCTAAGCTGGACTGCAAGGTAATATTCTTAAATGCAGAGAAAGCTCATTCTTAGTTTTGCACCTAACTGTGTTTTCCCCTTCAATAAAACCAAGATATTAATCCATCCCAATTTGAAAATGATTTCTGGGGTACTTCTACTGGAAGACATTAGAAAAAGTATAATAAACATGGGAGGATTTTCATTTTGATGGACAAAATTCTGGAACCAAAGGACAGGAAAAGGGGGCACATTTCACCTCTGTATATCTGATTTAATTCTCACATTTAGAGGGCAATAGTTGTGGTCAAAATAACTTCACAAAATTTTTGGGTAAGTTAATTCCAAGAAGATGAAAATTCTCTCATGTTTGTTTAACTTTTTCTAATATCTCCCAGAAGAATGACAGTGCTTTGATAGTAATGTGGTTTATATCCAATAAATTACTTAAACAAGTAACAAGAAAAAAAACACAAAAGCTTACATTTTACCTCACCAAAACATGCAGTGTACTTTTGATATACATACCCATTGGTGTTCCAACCCCATATGCTTTGGAGTCAATAAGGCCTCCAATCTGTGTGAGGTTGCAGTTGCGCTGGGTTACAAACTCGATGGTTGTAGACTCCATGAGAAATGCATAGTCAGAAGTGAGTACACGGTGAATGCCTTCCTCAATATTCTTCACCATTACGGAGTGCCTCCGACTGCTCATAAATTCCCACATCTTATCGTATGTAGAGATCTTTGTTTTCTGTAAGGAGACACATGATGTGTGAGAAAGAATGTTAATGGTCTTATTGACCACAGAAAAAAAAGCTTACATATTCTATTTCAATCCTACAAATTAATCTGGCTACATTAGTCCTACAGAACCCTCTGCATTAAGGGACATTCAGATTGTCTTTAGAAAAACATAGAATTTGCTTGGAAAGAATGTTATTATAGAGTCCATAGCTCTACATTCTTTCTATCTGCTTAAATTTGCTTAAAAGAGGAATATAATCTGAAGGAGATCAGTGTGTGCCAAGATACCTGAGATTCAACAGGTCCCTCCTCTTTATTAAAATAACTAACAGTAAGATAATATTTCAATGTAGTTAATGAGTAAGTATTCAGCTGTTTTCTTTGTGTGAAAATCTTGAGTGAAAATAAGTAGGACATTGTAAAATCAATAAAAGGGGAACTTCAGGTGTGGTTGTTAAAATATTCTCCCCATGTATTAAAATTAAAGAATATTTACTCATCCTACTCTATGAATAATAAGAAAGTTCTCTCCTTTTCAGATTATTATAGAAAGTAATCATTTTAACATTCATTGAGATTATTAATTTCTTAAATGTATAGTCTTTAAGAAAGGAATAAAGATTATACCTGTATAATCTTCCTTATAAGACACTCAAATATAAGTGTCTTGTAAGGATATGGAGAGATTTGGTTTTAGGATGACGCAACCCCAGAGTGGGGTTTATATTTATATTTGAGGAAACAAGACCGGGTTTGATGTGTTTAGTATAACTTCAAGGTTTTATGATTTTAGTTGGTAACTAAATTCAGGCTTAACAGTGACAGAGTGAAGTTACGGAAGTAGAGGCAGCATATTGTTAGTCATCTAAATTTGTTTGCAATTATGATAAATGATAAAATTGCTAGATTTAACAGGGACAGTTGTCTCTAGGCCCTTTTAGACAAAGGTTAGTTTGTAGAACCAGTTTTTTGTTAGGCTTTTAGAAGTCAACCCAAACTAGTAATACAAGGAAAGATCAAAAACCAACAGGATAAGACTTTAGTACAAACCATGAAGACGCTAAGCTGTTTTGTCTTATGAAAAATGCTTTAATCTTCTTCATTCTATGTCTAATGTTGGGAATAAACAATTATGTGTTTTTCTTCTATCTCTTGTAGCTAGTTGAAAAGCTCCAGCTAAAGGAAATGATATGTTAAGAAACACCCTCAAAACTAAGATTAAAGGAAATGACACACTAGGGAACACCCTCTTTAGAGTGTAGCTTAGATAGAGGCTATCAAAGAGAACTACATATTGTTGCTTTATGCCATTTTGTTCTGCTAGCTCCTAAAGTTAGCATGAGAAATGGACCAGCAGTATTTTGGTAGATGGAATTCATGAATTTAACTCATTGACTTTTCTTCAACCTCAACATCAAGAACTTAGCCTGGAGAAAGGATAATTCTCCACACTAATCAAAAGAAGTTGTAAACATGGAAAAGCTATAATGATGAAAAGTTGATCTAAGCTGTATGGGTTATATAATTGACGAGTTACAATTGTAAGCAGTCAGATTATGGAATCTGCAGAATAGAATGCTACAATTGTAAATAATGACTTAATATTCAACAATGATAATAATTGGGAAGTGATGTGAAGTACAGTCATTTAAGAGAAGCTTTGATTGCAAATGTGTAAAATGTACTCATCTATAAGATGAGAAACAGAAGATGACTCAGATGTGGCAAAAGAAAAGGGAAAGTTGTTTCTCAATTATTTTCTGTCATGCCCCCCCTAGGGATCATAATTTTTTCGTGCGCCGCTTCCCGCTGCTCAATGCCCTTCCTTTCCCAGAATTTAAATACTATTGCGGATCTGTTCATATTTAATAATTTATTGTACAAACAACTGGCTCCAGCATTGTACGACCTTATCAAAACCGCTGTTTTGTTGTTTTAAGCCTCAAAATAATTTCCTAAATCAGTTTATTGAGTGAATCACTAACATTTAATCAAGACTACTCAGTTTGAAAAAGAAAAAATGCAATTGATTCACTGGGATTTGCATTTTTAGACTTAATATAGCAAAACTTTTTACAACTGTAAGCATTGGTTACTTGCCAGCTTCTTCAATTTAGTTTTTCACAAGGTATAAAGTTTGTAACATTTATTGTGGAAAAATTGGCAGCAATATTGCTAATATTTCAGCTTGTCAGATGAGAAGAGATGAAAAGTGCATAACATTTTGCATTAACAATAGAAAGATAGGTTTTGTCTATTTCCTGGCCTTTTTCTGCGAGCTACATTTACTTGCTTATGATGGAGAATAAGGGCCAGGCTCTGAGTTTTTGATCTGGGTTTTAACCCTTGTGTTTACAAATGGGGTCCAACCGACCCCACACCCGTAAAAC